TAGTTGCGGAGAGTACTGGGGGCTTTTTGCAGACTGCTCACCACTAAGGGGTGTGTACAAAGTAACATCTGGCTAGCAACAAGCTGCTGATTAGTTTGTGGAGGTGTGACCATTTGTAGATAACAGAGGTCATGAACACCACAACACCTATCTGATTGGCTCCTTCATAGCTGAACAGTTTATAGAACATAGAACAGAGAATAGTACAGCACAGCACAGCCCATGATGTTGTGCCGAACTTTTACCCTAAACCTGAGGTCTATCTAACCTCCATCCCTACCTTATACTATCATCCATATGCCTATCTAATAACTGCTTAAATGCCCCTAATGAGGCTGATTCCACTACCCTCTCCGGCAACGAATTCCACGCCCCGACCACTCTCTGAGTCATGGACCTACCTCTGACGTCTCCCCGATATCTACCTTCTTTCACTTTAAAACTATGTCCCCTTAGGGTGGAGAACTGTACTGGTGGAAGAGTTCATAATGCTTCACGAGCCAGGTGGTTTTGTTACTGTACAGTAAAGTAGCTCAAGTCTGAAGAAAGCTAGTTTATGTCCCCTCACCAATTGTGTGAAGCTCTAGCCTGTAACAAGAGACTCTGTAGTTAGTGCACCAATTGCTGGAAGTAAAGATAGCCTGAGGAGCAGAGGCTGAAGAACAGAAAAACTCAGCAAGCAAAAGGATCATCTCGGTGAACCCTGTGAGTTGAGGCCATTGAACTGCTTCACAAGTTTTTTCCCCCCGCTTCCAACCACAACACTAATTTATTTTGGTCTGTCTTGTGTCTGTGCGTACATAGGGGAGTTTTAGAAGAGGGCTAGAGTTTTAGCTTAAGTCATATGCTGATATTCACAGGTAAACAACTGTGAACTAAAATTTTGACATTGTTTCAAAATGAACTACCTCATTTTGAAGCAAGGATATTAAATTTAATTAGTGGAAATCATGAATGCATGAGGCACAATCTGGCTGAGGTGGATTGGAAAAATACATTAAAAAAGGAGACCACTGTAAATAGGCTCCAGTTTTTAAAAAAAAGAGCTATTGTGAGACTTAACTCTGGAATAAATTCCTTCAAGGGGCAAAATCCGAAAACAGGTCAATCATAGCTGACAAAGGAAATTCAGGATTGCTCAAGATTAAAATGAAAAGATCTATAAAAGTTTCCTGACTGGAGGTGCAGAGAGGGAAAGATGAACTTTTGAAGTTAGTTCAGTTTTAGTAATATCAATTTAATATTAATTTAATATTAATTTATTCAGTATTTTACCATTTATACAATTTATTCAGTAATTTATTCTGTAATCCAAGGCAGCACCTGAACAAGGCGACCTTATAGACTTTTCACTGGACCTCGGCACAAGTGACAATTTTAAATAAATCTAAATGGAGAGAGCTTGGAATACTCAAAAGGACAGCCAAGCAGCTGATATGGAAAGGGAGAACATACTAAGAATGCAATCTTGCAAAAAAAAACGAAAATGGGCTGCAAGTTTCTATTGGTACATAAAAAGGAAACATTTGGCCAAAATGAATGTGTCCATTAAAGGCAGAATCAGGAGATTTTATAATGGGGAACAGAGGAACTGCAGTGAAGCTAAATGGAAGTACACTTGAAATGTGAGAACATTCAAGGCTACTGGCCAAGTGTTGGAAAGTGGGATGTGTGTGTATGGGTCACAATGAGCTTAAGGACTACTTCTGTGCAGTTCAATTCTGTGACTTGAAATGACACCATTTTCATTGAGGAAGATTCCAGAAATCTCCTAGAACAAGTGGGTCAGGGAGAATGAGGAATTGAAGTAAATTAGTGTTAAGCAAGACGATTGCACTGAACACATTAATGGGGTTGAAAGTTGAAGAATGCCCAGGACCTGATGGTCTTCATCCCAAAGTGCTGAAGGTGATGTTTGGAGAGATAGTTGGCGATTATCTTCCAAAATTCTATAGATTATGAAATGATCCCTCAAGTTTGGAAGGAAACAAAATGTCACCCCACAACTTAAGGGAGGGAGAGGAAAAAAAACAGGGAAAGGAAAAAAAAAACAGGAACGACACGCTTGTTAGTGTCACATGAGAAGTAGAGAAAATGTTAGAATCTATTATAAAGTATGGGATAAATAGACACCTGGTTGATAATGATCTGATTAAGTACAGTCAGCATGGATTTGCGAATAGGAAGTTATGCTTGTCAAATTTGCTAGACTTGTGAAGATCAGGCAATATCCTGATGGATCTCTTTTTCACCCTGTCCAATGTAATCACATCCTTCCTGCTCTGCAGTGTCCAGACCTGCATACAATACTCCAATTGTGGTTGCACTAACCCGATATATAGCATCATCATAACCCCCTTGTCATAGAGTTCTAGAGGTTTGCTGCATGGAAACAGGCCCTTGGGCCCAACTTATCCATGCCACCCAGACTTTACAATCATTCTAGTCCCATTTGCCTGCATTTAATCTATATCCCTCTGTACCTATTCCCATCCATATACATGTCTAAATATTTCTTAAATGACAATACTGTACTAGCCTCTACCATTACCTCTGGCAGCCGATTCCAGTCACTCATCACCCCCTCAGTGAGAAAAATTTGCCCCTTTGGACCCTTTTGTATCTCTCCCTTCTCACCTTAAGCCTATGCCCTCTAGTTGTAACTGGATGTTAAACTGGAGAGGGTTCAGAAGAGATTTACAAGGATGTTGTCGGGACTAGGGTTTGAGCTGTAGGGAGAGGGTGAATAGGCTAGGTCTTTGTCCCTACAGCGGAGGCTGAGGGGTGACATGATAGAGGTTTATAAAGCCATGAGGGGCATAGATAGGGTAGGAGAATACAAAACCAAAGGGCATAGGTTGAAAGGTGAGAGGGGAAAGATTTAAAAGGGACCCGAGGGCAACTTCTTCACACAGAGGGTGGTACGTGTAAGCAATAAGCTGCCAGAGGAAGTTGTAGAGGCTAATACAATTACAACATTTAAAAAGTATTTGGACGGGTACACGAATAGGAAGGGTTTGGAGCGAAATGGGCGAAATGCTGGCCAATGGGACTATATCAGTTTAGGATATCCGGTTGACACAGACAAGTTGGACCGAAGAGTCTGTTTCCATGCTGTACATCTCTGACTCCATGATACAAACAAAATTGATAAAGGAGAACCAATGGAAGTAATACTCTCAGATTTTCAGAAGACTTGAAGAAAGTTTGATAAAGAGGTAATACACTGGCATGGATTAACGATTGGCTAACAGACAGGAAACAGTAGGAATAAATGGGTCATTATTACATTGGCAGACCATTACTAGCCAGGTACTGCAAGAAACAGTACTTAGTTACCAGCTATTCACAATATAAACCAATGATTTGGAGGTGGGGACCAAATGCAACATTTCCAAATTCACAGGTGATACAAAGCTGGGTGGGAACGTGTGCAGTGAGGAATGTCTAAATGAGGCTTCAGGAAATTTTGGACAGGTTAACTGGATGGGCAAAAACATGACAAATGGAATATAGTGTGGCAAAATGCGAACTGACCCACTTCGATGGGGGAAACAAATGTGCAGCGTATTTATTAAATGGGAAGTTAGAAAGTGTAGACGTTCAAAAGGATCTAGGTTTCCTTGCACACAAGTTACTGAAAGCAGATGTAGCAAACTATGAAGAAAAGACTAATGTAATGTCAGCCTTTATTGCAAGACGATGAGAATACAGGAGTAGTGAAATCTTGCTTCAATTGTATAGCAGCTTGTTTAGACTGCACCTACAGCACTTAAGTAATCTTTGTCTTAAATCCTCAGGAAAGATTATTGCCATAGAGGAAATAAAACAAAAAAGGTTCACCAAACTTGTTCCCAATAGGGCAGAACCGTTCTATGAAGGGAGAGTGGGCACATTAGGCCTTTAACCTCTACAGTTTCCAAGAACGAGGGGTGATCTCATCAAAATCCATAAAATACTTAAAGGGATAGACAGGGTAGATGTGGATAAGTGGGTTTCCCCAGATGTGGAGTCTAGGACTGGATGTATAATTTAAAAAATAAGGTATAACGCCACTTAGCTCCAAGATGAGGAGAATTCTTTTCCTAAAAAACTCAGAGGGTTATGAACCTTTGGAATTCTCTACCATACAGGGTTGTGAAAGCTCAGTCTTTAAGTATGTTAAGTGAGTGAGTGCATATTGATAGATTTCTTTTTACCAATGGCATACAGGATTATGGGATGCATAAAAAGATACAGAAGTGTTCAGTCAGTCATCATCGTATTCAGTGGTGGAACAGGCTAGGATGGGCTGAATGGCCAATTCCTGAACTTATAACCTACTTATTTGTAACAAATGGCAATTCTTAAGTACAGAAATCTGGTCTGCTTTTCACAGAATCATGGAACCTTACAGCGTGGAATTAGCCATTTGGCCCAATGAGTTTACACTGACTCTACAAATATCATCCTACCCAGACTCACCCCCCAACCCAATCCCTGTAACCCTGCATTTCCCATGGCTAATCCACGTAACCAGCACACCCCTGGACACTTCTGGCAATTTAGCATGGCCAATCCACCTAACCTGCACATCTTTGGACTGTGGGAGGAAACCAGAGCACCCGTAAGGAATCCATGCAGACACGGGGAGAATGTGCAAACTCCACACAGATAGTCACTCGAGGGTGGAATTGAACCCAGGACCCTGACCCTGAGGAAACAGTGCTAACCACTGAATCCTTGAGACATGTAAATTGAGGATTTTTGCACACCTTAGATGGAATCTTCAACGTTTGTGACTACCCTGAAAATGGAGGGACTTGATTTCCAGAGTGGGGGCCCAGTGAGGCATAGCAACATGAATCTTTGAACCAACTTATTCTTCCAGCATTATTATAGTCAGTCATAGAAAACATCAAATCACAAGACAACAAGTTTAAGCAGACAGGTGGCCTAGTCATTGGGTTTGAGTGGAGACATTACTTGGTCTTCCTGGCAGCTGCCTATTCTGTCAGTACCTGGAGTACTCTGACCCTTTGCACAGCTTCTTTCCCGGTGACAGTGCTCGCACATCAAGGCCATTCTCTGACTTTCGCTTCATCTGTGAAAGAGAGAATAAGAAATTGAGAAAACGAATTCTGGTCTGCTGAGAGCTCCAGCTAACACAGGAAAAAACAACAGGAAATAGGATATTAATAGGACTCAGGCTTGTCATAAACTATCCTATATAGGGCAAACAATCAAATAAACATAGACAGGACTCAGAATTAATCCTTCCTGACAACTACAAATAACTCCTAATAGTAATCCATCCAGATTGTTAATTGTTTTAAAACAATAATCACTCAGTAACCTTTGCTGCAAAACAAGACAGATAGGAAATAGTGACCAGGGAAGCACTTAATGTATGACATCTATTACAAAGCAGACATGTATAATATAAGCTCCATCCTTTGCAGCAATTTCATGCAATTCTTGTATAATCAACTCCAAGAGATAGAAAGAACAGCTGATTTAGTGGGGTTATATGTATGCACTCTCAGCCTGTTAAATGGGCTACAAGTATCTAAATAAGCCACTTAACAAGCCCTTGTAAACAATCTGGTGAGTCCTTCAGCAGAAAACACTACAATGGAACATCGATTGTATTTACAAACTTGGATCTATCAGTCTATTCAGCTTCTCATATGATGCAGCTCTTAGTGACCCCACGTCTGAAACAGGAACCCCTCTTCGTAAATTGTTTTGTAGCAATATGATAAATCCTTATGCGCTCTAGAGATGAAGAAGATCCTGTTCAACTCCATTCCTCAGAAAATGCTGTACTTCTAATGCATTTCGTCTTTTATTTAGTTTCTTATGTGAAAGGCTCTGACATACGATCATTCTGAAATTCAGCCTGTGTTATGCAGGCTGTAATTTTGCACATATTAGGATCCCAAAAATAGCAAACGTATGGGCAACCTATTAAATCTGGTTTTGGTTAAGAGAAGTTTGTTGTCTAAAATATTTGGGACAATCACAGCAGAGGAGCTTGTTTGGCCATTAAATCTGTTCCAGCTTGGAGAGATGTGCGCTGACAATATTCCCATTCCCAACACTATTCCTGCAGTCCTGCAACCCTTTTCAAGCATTTATCTGATTCTATTTGAAAGCTACAGTATGAATGAATTTTCCTTCACAATCCATTCAAGCACTGCATTCCAGATTATAAAATCTCAGAATCCCTGCAGTGTGGAAGCCGGTCATTCGGCACATCACTTCCACACTGACCCTCCGAAGAGCATCCCACCCAGACTCACGCACTACCCTATCATTGCATTTCCCACCCTACACGTGATGGGCAATTTAGCATAGCCAATCCACCCAACCTGCACATCTTTGGACTGTGGGAGGAAACCCGAGCACCCAGAGGAAACCCATGCAGACACAGGGAGAACGTGCAAACTCTACATAGACAGTCATCTGAAGCTGGAAACGAATCCAGGTCACTGGTGCTGAGGCAGCAGTGCCTCCCCAAAGAAATCTCATACATAGAAAGATTCTCATCTCTTCTGCAATTCTATTGCCAATTGTTCATCATGCACTCTACGCCAGAAAAGTCGAACCCTTGATCGCTTTCATTACCATTTTGACTGCCAACCCGCCAATTCCAATCAACCCAGTCAGATCCCTTCTCTGCTGTCATTTGCGCACCCTCTCAAAATAGTTCAATAAAAACAAGAGCGGCAGATGTTGGAGCTCTGCAACAAAAGCCAAAATTGCTGGAGAACCTCAGAAGGTCTGGCAGCACTGTGGAAGAAAGTAGACATTTCAAGTCCACTTTCTTTCCACAGATGCTGCCAGACCTGCTGAGGTTCTCCAGCAATTTCTGTTTTCATTCCCTCAAAATAGTTGATCACTGGACTACAAAAATCAGAAATTAAAGCAAAAAACTACAGATACTGGAAACCTGAAATAAAGCGCTTGAAAAACTCGGGTCATTTGGCAACACCTGTGGAGAGGGAAACAAAGTTTCAAGTGCAGCATGATTTTTCATAACAGAAAAGGGTTTGGAAGGTGGGTTTTCAAACTACTTTTGACAGAAGCAGAGGAGGGGAAAGGGAATAGGTTGTGTACAAAAGAGACAAGGAAGAGTAGGGGAAGAATGCAGTAAAAATGGAGGACAGATAGCATACAGTCAGATTCTAAAATTGTGGAATTCAATATAGAGTCTGTGCGGCTGTAAAATGCCCAAGTGGAAAATGAGGTGCTGTTCCTTGAGTTTGCATGGCGGTTTGCTGGAGCACCACTGCAGGCCCAGGACAGAAATGTTAGCTCGAGGGCAAAGTGGTTTATTGAAATAGCCAACAACTGGAAAGGTCAGGGTCACACTTATGAACAAAGTGGAGGCAAAATGTCACCCAGCCTGCTTTTGGTCTCAACAACATAAAAGGATGGTGACTGCCAAATGAAGTAGACTAGATTGAAAGCAGCACAAATGGACTGTTGCTTCACCGGGAAGATGTGTTTGAGGCCTTGGAAAGTGAAGAGGGTGGTGGTGAATGGGTAAGTGTTTCACCTGTTCCAATTTGAGAAGATGAGTGGAAGCGGGACATCCTAGAGAGACTGTTCCTGCAGAATGCTGCCAGTGGAGAGGAGGGGAATGTGTGTCTGATGGTGGCATCCTGCTCGAGATGGTGGAAATGATTGTTTGAATATGGAGACAATGGGGTGGAAAGTGAGGTCAAGGGGAACCCAATCGTTGCTTGGGAAGGAAGAGATGAGGGAAGAAGTGTGGGAGCTAAGTCAGGCAAGACTAAGGGCACTGTCAACCATGCAACATGCTTGACGGTAAGTTATAGGTCCTGGTATAAAAAAAGCAAAGGAATTACAGGAATACAAAAATTATCTGAGCGACAGGAAACAGTAATGGTCTATAGACCAGGGAAGGCTATAGCTAAGTGGTATTATCGCTAGACTATTAATCCAGAGACCCAGACAATGTTCTTGGGAACTGGGTTCGAATCCTGTCATGGCAGATGGTGGAATTTGAATTTAATAATAATCTAGAATTAAGAGTCTAATGATGACCACGAAACCATTGCCGATTGGTTTTTCCTAACAATCTGGTTGACTAACGTCCTTGAGGGAACGAAATCTGCCATCCTTTCTTGGTCTGGCCTACATGTGACTCCAGACCCACAGCAACATGGTTGACTCTTAATTGTTGTCTGGGCAATTAGGATGTGCAATAAATGCTGGTCCAGCCAGCAATGCCCACATCCCATGAATGAATTAAAAAAATAATTTTTTTTTGGCTAGAGGAAGGTCTAGAGTGGCGTTGCCTAGGGATTGATATCAGGACCTTTGCTTATGTTGATGCATTTTAATGATCTGAACTTTGCGTAAGCAGCAATTTCATAGTTTGCAGATGACACAGAAGTTGAAAGAATTGCAAACTGAGAGGCGGGAATCGTGCAGAACTCAAAAAGGACAGTGACAAGGTGGAAGAGTGGGCAGGTAGGTGGCGGATGAAGTTCAATGCGTGAGATGATGCACTTTGGTTGGAAGAACATTGAAAGGCAATACAAAATATGGGGTACAGGAATGGAGGTGCATATGTGCACAGATCACTGAAGGCGGTGGGATAGGTGGAGAGAGCACAGTGTTCTTGGCTTTATTAAACAGAGCTTGAAGTACATCGGCAAGGGAGGTGATACTGAACCGAGAGAAGATCTGACAGAGGTTTTCAAAATCATGAGCAGGCTGTACAGTGTAGACAGGGAGAATCCATTCCTGCTCGTAAAATAAAAGAACGAAAGGGCATAAATTTAAAGTGATATGCAAAAGGAACAAATGTGATGCAACAAAACAAAAAATGCTTTCACGTGTAGTGAAGGTCTGGAATGCCCTGCCTGGAAATGTGGTTGAGGCAAGTTCAACCTAGGCAATCAAGGCGGCATTGGGCCAGTGTAGGGATAATAGGGAGGATGGAAAATCCTCAGTTGAGGAGAATGGAGGTCATGTCAGAGGCAGCCCAGTAAAAGGTGGCATCTTTGGAACAGATGCAATGGAGACAGAGAAACTGACAGAATGGAATCCTTGCAGGAATCAGGTGTGAAGTGGTGTAGTCAATGTAACTGTGGAAGTGGGCTTGTAATGGATAGTGGTGGACATCCTAGCCTCAGAAATTCAAACTAACAGTGAAGTCAAGGAAGACGTGGACGAGGTCAAGCCGAGAGGACAGAAATTGGAAAAAAAAATCATGTCTGCTTTCCAAATCCAGACAAGAGCAGGAAGCTACCAAGACATCTTTGATATATTGGGGAGAATGTTGTGGACAGGCTGACAAGTTCCCAGCACCTGACAGCCTGCATCCCTAGATCCTCAGAGGAAGTAGCTGCATGGATTGTGATTACATCTGGTGCCTTTGGAAGAGTGCAAACACAAGTTTTTTTTTTGGTCCTAATTCTATTTAGCAGAGCCAGTTATCAACATGATACTTTAAGCTTTGAGATGTCTTTTAAAAAAAAAAAAGAAACAAATTCTCAAAGTTTAAGTTGTGAAATTGATTAATTGTAGATCTATGACAAACTGTGTGGCAGGACAGAAGTGTCACTGGACTAGCAATTTCACAGGCCCAGACTAATTCTCTAAGGACACACGTCCAAATCCCACAGTTAATTCAATTAATAAATCTGGTCGCAAGAATGATGATCAGGAAACACAGATGATTGTCATAAAAATACAACAGGTTCATTCATGACCTTTAGGAAAGGGATTCTGCCATTCCCTAAAGGGATTAAAAGATGCAGAGAGAAAGCAGAATAGATTGATCAGCCATGATCTTATCGAATAGCTGAGCAGGTTCAAAGGGCTGAATGGTCTACTCCGGTTCGTATTTTCCATATTTCGATTCTTACCTGGTCAGCCTACTTGTGACTCCATGTCCACAGCAATGTGGTTGATTCTGAATTGCCTAACTCTGAAAATGGGGAGTTAAATAGCATTTGGGGATGGGCAATTAATGGTCTTGCCAGAAAAGAGTGAATTTTAAAAAACGTGTGGCCTGCCCGAATTCACGCATAAATGGTTCCTACATATTATCATCCATAATTT